ATGTCTTTGTGTTTGCACTTTTTTGTGTTTTCACTTAAGACATACTTATGTTGCATTTTAATAGTTATATGCTTCAATGCATGCATCCCAACACTCTACCTTACAACACTTGACAGGCCACATCCTATTGTTACCACCCCATTTGCTTATTGTCATGCATACAAACACACACCTTTACAGAATCCTACACACACACAATCCTAAACACACACACACACACACACACACACACACACACACACACACACACACACACACACACACACACACACACACACACTTGACCTCCATGCCAAATTTCAAATTGGCAACCAAGGCAAAAACTGTGGCTGCCAAGGAGTGTCTGATTTTTCTGGGACCGACCGACCAACCACAAAACGACAAGCGCTGCTGGACGGTTATTCACTGCTGTATTTTATTAAATGTATTTTCATGTCTTTAGCTGATTGGTGAGTTTTAAAGTTAAACCAACACCGTCAGCACCTTAGTGTTTCATGAATCAGACATACCTGTTGCTGCCGTTGTTGTCAATATACTGTTTTTGGCCATTGCTCAGTCACCCCTTCATTTGGTGAAGAGAAGTCTCCTATTTAATGCTGACTACCTGCATTACTCATTCACACAGCATGAGTTACACCATCTGGCTGCAGTAAGAAAAGCCTCACATTCAAAACCCAAACTTTGATTTACACTGGACTTTCTTCTTTGGATTTATAGTGATGCAAAAACAGGAGGTTTCAAACACTTTTAGTTCGCCCGGCTGAAAGAAATCCTTCCCAAGCATTTTTTATCAAAATCAGCTGTTTAATGTTATTTATGACTGGAAAAAACGCAATTTATTAAAGAGTCCAGGGAGCTTTTAGTTTGTTACATGCAACTAAATCTGCTGCCCTCCCACTCAGCACTTTCAAACTTAATTCTGAAGACTTACAAGTAGTTTGGAAAAACATCCTTGCAAACTGGATGCAAACCTTTTGGTTGGGGTGAAAAACCTAGCCTCCAGCTTTCTAATCTCGCCTGCATTGATCAGCCCCCTCCTCCTGCACACGCAAACTTCCAAGCTCAGCGGGCCGCTGTAGCTTAGCTGCTGAACCAGCCTTGACTCTCGTTTATGTGAAGAAGCAAATGGTGCGAGAGTAGAAGACCGTAGGAAAGCCGTTTCAGATGACTTGTCAACCAAGCTGCTACTTACACACAGGGCCGGCGTCTCGACACGACGAGTCCAATAAAGTCAGACACTTTCTGTTCTGCTTGAAAGCTGTAACACGGAGTATCTGTTCTCTGTCCATTTAAAATATCCGTTATTTGATGTTCACAGATCAGTGGTATTACCATCTGCAGAAGTAACAGTATGCTGCTATCAGTCTCAATGCGGCTGAACTTTACTACTTCAAGGAACACGATTTTCAAAACTTCCAGTCATATTAATACCCTTCAAGGGCTTAAAGCAGTGAGCGAAGATGTTTTGTTCACTTTGCTTTTATTCCTCCTTGTATAGGAAACATCAGGTTTTATTTGAACAACAATAGTTTATTTGAAGTAGCTTTATAATTCATGATTGCAGTGACCTGCCATCCATGTGAGAGCCAAACGCTCTGACTTCAAACAACCTAGCTTCAGCACAACATCTGGCCTCTGAGGAAATGTTGCCTTTGTTAATGAAGTGATATAAATTGATGTGGCAGACAAAAGCCTCTTTACATTGCGTTTCTCACTGAGGTGGTATTGAAGTATACAAGGATGAGCTTTACTGCAGGCTATTGCTGCAGAGTCTCAGGGCCATCAACAATGTAATAGAAAATGACAGTTATTTTATTATTAAAAGTGGTAAATTATGCTGTTTATAGGGATTTGATCATACTTGCTATACTGGCATCCAAGCTGTGTTTTTTTACTCCATGGAAGGCGTTCCTTGTCACATTGTTAATACTTCGTGGGTGTTAATATCTTGACGGCAGGTGTTCTCACCCTTCTCCTTTCAAATTATATATCTTATTTATAACCATCAAAGTCACCAGTAACCAATGAAGTGAAATTATCATTAAGAAATCTTCTTTGTCCTTTCAAAATGTGACCTTAAAAGCTTTATCAATAAAGCCGCTATTATTTTGTATCAACAAACTTTCGTATGACTATATGGCAACTTACCGCTACATTTGGAGAAATAAAACCTTTTAAATGTATTAAAAGTAAAGCATTAGAACCTATCCCAAAAAGAAAAACATGTCAATGTTTTAATTTCAATTGGTTGATCCTATTCAGCGCTAAAGATGAGCTTGATCCATCCCATCATGCATTAGGCAAAAGCCTTCGAAACACAACAGGCATGTGACCATTTTTTGATGTGTTTTATTTGTCTTCATTGTTAATATTCCAGTCAGTAACTCTTGTAACAATTGATTTTATGGAATCATCCATCTGTTTAATTGCAGTGGCTGAATGTGATGACAGTATTATTGATGGGGCAACTTATTTCCAACAGCTGATAAGTCTGTCTCTCCAGGATGGTGAGAGTGGGAATGAATCGTAATGTGTATTCTGTCGCTCCTTTCATTTGTCTCAGGTGTTCACCCTTCAATAACAGAATCCCCCCTTCTCCTCTTTAGACTACACCTTCATTTCTCAACAGTAATCTCTTCACCCTAAGCCCTTTAAATCACTATTAAGCCTCTATTCATTCTTACATAATGATCAAATTCATCCCAGTCCATTTACCTTCAAGGTTTAAGATTTACAAAGGATTAGAGGTTGAAAAATCAATTTGCATGCTCTTGGATGTCAAGTAATCCAGTTTGGAGGTATGTAGGTGCCTCTGCTGTGTTAATGGGCTGTGCACTACATGGTTGCTGGCATCCAAGCAAATGTGATACATCTGTTGAAATGTATTGGGAAATTATGAATTGCATAAGGCATTATTACTCATCCATAGGGGGATTTCTGCCTTCATCCAGTATATGGTGTGAGCAATTAAAGACCTTCGTCCAGTGATTTCAAAAAGCAATGTAATGTCTTACAGTATGTGACATGCTGAACTTCAAACGGCCGTTTCACACAGAAATATCTACAAAGTGAATATTATAGCACTGTATTGACGCGTTGAGCCATGGGGCTTCACCTTTCTCTTTCAACGTCCCTCAGAACAGAGTAAGCAGGCGAAGTTGGATGCAAATGACATCAGACTGTAATGCTGGATACTTACCAAGCGAATGCATAAAGTTAATTGCCAGACAGAATGGGGGATATATTTTATCCTAATTTTCAGACTGCTGCATGTTGTTTTATTGCTTATGACGGTGTCCATGAGGGTAAGACTGTTGGAAGGTATAGGCCATTTCATTAGAAGCCATTAATCTCTGCTACCCATTCTGGACACTTGGTAGTGTAGTTATAAAAAGCTACATGGATTATCTCTGAACTAGCGCTCATATATAAAGGATTTTCATACGTAAGCTTATCTACAAAGGGGGCAAGTTATAACAAATAAAGCAAAACTAGTTAAGTTTAAATGCATTGCATTTTTGTAAAGATGTTATTTTGGAACTTATTTTGCAATATTTAATTGAGATATCATGAAGGTAAAGACAGAAGCCATACATTTATGATAAAAAACACAAATAACATATATATAAATGTGCAGGACATGTACGACTTTTTAGGACAATTCATATACTGAATTGTTTATGATGGAGCTAAGATAATTAATAGTTTAATAAATAAATAGAGCAACAGAAAACATGTTTGATACTTGCTTCTCTTTGATGCTTTACTGTGTTTTATTTCCTAACGTTTTGGGCTTTTGTTCAAACAAAACAAAACAAGACATTCAAAGATACTGTTTAATAGTCTTACACAAAAACACAAAACCAGGAGGATTTCATTCGCTTGGGTTATTCTGATATTGGTACAATAATTACATATTGGATATTGAGTGGTCCATATTTAGGATGGAGTCGCTGTTGGTTGATGTTTTGCACTCATAAGTCAGAGTTACTGTTATTGTGGTTTTGTTGGTGTTGCACAAGTTGGTAGGAAGTTGTTATTTACACAGCTCAAAAAATCAAAGATACTATCATTTTTGGACCTTGGGGTTTCACATGTTTGCACAATGTGTGTTTGTCACAATAATTTTTTGAAGAAGTCAGCGCTTGAGTGTTTTGAATTTCTACGAGCAAGGTTTTAAAAAGTTCAGATTCGTTGTTTGCATGATGAAGTGTTTCCTTGTTATAGAGAATGTTACCCCAAACAGTCATAACACTCGATAATTAGAAGATAGCGTTGAAAAGATGCCCAGAGAGACTTCCCCAGGGAGATGTATAGTCTGCAGATTTTACGATTGCACAGTGCAGGCAGGGCGCACCACACGTTGTGTAAAGGGTGAAGGGCACAATATAAAGGGCTTTTTGTCTGTAAAGGGCTGTTGAGATTTTATCAAGAGGATAAAATGCATTCTTTTGGACATAAGTTGTTGTAATAATTGTGGTTTTGTCTGGGGCTTTACTCATTAGTGATTCCATGCATATACCAACACATATATTGGGTAATTTACTAGACATCTTCAAATATACAGCCTTTTTGTATGTATATCAAGTAAAGGCACTTTATGATCCTCTTCAAAAAAATTGTCAATGATATTTACGAGGTCTGTCGCTCTGTGCCTGAAATGAATTATAGCTTTGACTTATTTATTCATTCAGTCATGGTTTACTAGTGGAAGCCTTGGCTGGTAGTCTACATGGTCTTAAAAGCCATTACATTATGCATATGTGGTCAGCTTTCCCACAGAGAATACAGAATACGCGTGTGGTTTATAGCATTACAACTAACCGAGGGATGGGTTGACATGCCATCACAGTGTTCGGTTTTTAATAAACACATGTCTGTCATGGAGCTTAAAAAGCCTGCATGGACGACTCTCTTCTTTTGTTTCACCCTGTGACACCTAGCTGCTTCTGATGATAGCTCTCCTCTGAAGCTAGCTATCTGTGTGATCTGTTTTGTAGGTGATCCTCATGTTGACAAAGTACTACGACTTCAACTCTGGCAGAGTAACGGAGAGTTCATTATGGAGGTAAGATCTTCTGTCTGTTATAACAAATCAGTTCGCTACAGAAAATGATACATTAGCTTTGTTCAGTGTCTCAGATACATTGGAGTCCTATCTAAGTTTATATATAAGATATATAATAGTAAACCTCTTTGATGTCTTGTGAACATATAGTTAGTACCCACTACTGTGAAGACAGGTAGCATACATACAATGCTCAAATGATGGAGACTACTTGACTAGAACTTCACACAACTCCAAAAATGTTTATCTCTAACTGCTGGATTTGTAAATAATCAACCATCTGCTAACAAGGTCACAATATTAACTCAAATAAAGGTTGTACGTCAGTGCTGTGAAAGAAAGCTTTCCGCTGCAACAAAATACAGTATTTGCAAGGTCAGTTTATTCCTAAGTGAAGAAAGGAACTTGAAGAGATGACATTGGGGTTTATAAAGGTCATGACAAAAGTAACATTTTCAGAAGGAAAACCATGTGGTATATTTATTATAATTATGTACAAAAATGCCACATTTTGGTTAATATCCAATGTGGTCGTTGCGAACTGTTTAAATAATGAATAATGAATACTTATTTGCCATTTCACACACTCAAATGTTTCTGAAATGCAACCAAACAACTGAGACCAGCATAATATGTTTATTGATTACAATTTATCCAAAGAAGTGATCTAAAGTTTGTTTGTTAATTGTTTTTCCTCTGGTTCTGAAAGTTCCAAAAACATTTGTAATGCTTTATGTTAAGTCATCTTAAGGCAATGATGTCCTCTAATCCTCAATATGATTTATTAAACATGGAAATCCAAAGCTTTAGATTTATGTTTTTACCCCAAAGCAGCAATAATATTACAAGTATTAATAATGTTTCATCCCCTCACCACACAGGATATTCTTGTTTATTTGGATAATTAAAAGAATCTCCATTCATCTAGCAAATTGCTTCAAGACTTCTGCTGTTGCAATTTTCTGCTTGCCTGATATGCTTAATGACACCATCAGCATCTTAACTAGAAGGTGAACCTTCTTTCTCCTTTTCTCTCAGCACAACCTGTTTTACTTTATCCTTCCAATTAAACTTTAGGTCAACGGACTATGGGTCGACATATGAGAAGCTTAATGAGAAAGTTGGGCTAAAAACCATCCTGAGCTACTTGTATGTGAGTCCGAACAATAAAAGAAAGGTAAGTGTGCACATGCATCTTATTAAAAATCACGACTCTGAATTGAATAAATCGGTCATTATTTTTGCTGTGTAACAGAGGTTTATTTTAGTATCTTCACTACAAAGCAACCCTACAGGAGTCTGCACGATGCGTCTGTTCCAAACAGCGCACAAGTACAGATAAGCCCTGAGGAATAGATGCTGTCGACGTGGGCCGCTGATTCCCCCCGTCTCCTTTCTTGTCTCGTCTCAGATCATGTTACTTACCGACCCGGAGGTGGAGAGCAGCCTGCTCATTAGCCTTGACGAGGGGGCGACCTATCAGAAACACAGCTTAGCCTTTGATATCCTCAGCCTGCTGTTTCACCCCGAGCAGGAGGACTGGATCCTGGCTTACAGCCACGACCAAAAGGTAATGTGTAGCTGTCAGGTGTCATCAAAATAACTGGAATCAAGAATGAAATGAAAATGTGACAGGAAAGAAATCTCTGGCTGCTGAATAGGTGTGTAGGATTTTCTTGCTGCTTATCATGCACGACTTAGCTCAATGTGAGATTTCTGCCAGACTCTTCTTGCCATTATATATTATATCCTGTTGTGCCACAGATAAATTGATGTCTTCCTGCAATTATACGAAACATAGGTTGTTGTCACGCTCCAAACATTAATTTTGATAATAGCGGCCAGCTTTCAGGACATGGTGTTCATGAGAGGAGACATCTGCCACTGAAGCCAGGCTGCCGGTGCCAAAAGAGAGGCAGCCCATCACCTGCTCCCTTTATCAAGTCATAATGTCTGAAGCTGAATCCAACTCTGAATTATGTCCCACAAAACATACAGGAAAGTTAACAAGGAAGACACATCTAAACACACAGTAGGATGCATAAACACACACACTTTTTCATTACCCTGCCCAAGAACCCTGCTTTACTCAAAACCACACTCATCAAACTCGGCCTTCCCAGCCTGCTCTTGGAAAAGTTGATTTTCCAAGAGAAAAACCGTCAAGGTCTGAGAAGTGAGATAAATGGTGCAGGGAGGAAGATGAAAGCTTACTCGAGACCCATCAACGGGTCAAAAAGACGATCTCAAGAAGTTTGCTTTAAGGTCATTCAGTACGTCTCTGTAAATCGCAATTTAAACTTCTTTTTTTCCTTTTAAACTGCGAAAATTAATCATAGCTTGGTTTCATTTTACATGTATTGATTGTCTGTCATGTCTTTCTAAAGTGTAAAGCTCTTGGATAAGTCTAAATAATGTTGCTTATCCTTGTAAAGCTCCAAGCTTTAAATGCTTGCAGCTCGATCATTATGACAAGATGACAGGCTTTCTAAAAGCTTCAACACAAGTCCAGTAAAAAGAGGACTAATGGCTTTATCAAATAAAAGGACTACAATGACACTTAAATTAGTGATTTTATAACACCGATCAAGCTAAAATCCTGCCGAGTTACTTTAGTAAGTAGACATTTTAATTTAATACAGAGGCCAATTAGTCTGTCCTCGCCTACCCTCTTTTCTAAAGAAACAGATTGACTAGTCTTATTACAATTTCCCTTTTTTCTGAATATCACTGTATTTGTACAGGAACTGATGGATTTTCTCGTCACTGATGCAATTTCACAAAACACACACGCAGTAGTGCATAATTCAAAACAACATCAACACATTGACGCCATAAAATCTACAAATCTTGAGAGCTTCTTGATAATACAGTTAGACATATATCAGGGAATAATTCTCTTGGACATTCTGACTTGGAACATTATTCTTTATACTGTAACTCATTTGGTTAATGCATTCCTCTCATCTTTCAGCTCTACGTCTCTGTTGAATTTGGGAGGAGATGGCAGCTCGTGCATGACAGCGTCGTCCCCAACAGATTCTACTGGTGAGATAAACCATCAGTCTCTTTCAGAGGGATGTACTGTTGGCAGAAATGCTAGCATATTTTGATTTACTCTGAAAACATGATAAATAATAAACAAGCACAGGACAATTAATTATACATTAATTAATGAAAATGAATCCAACTTAGCACAGCAGCAGTACAGAGCCTTTATGTACACTGTGTTCTCTGGGAAGTAGTAGAAACATGGAGAAAACATGAGTACTGACCCCTAACATCAATATTAATGCACATTTCTGATTAGTCAGCAGCTCATTTAAAGTCATATCTGCAAATATGTTACATGTTATTTAGTGGGATCTGAACATGAATAAAAAAAGAGTTAGGTATACGATTTAGATATGTAATGAATTTATATAAAGTGGATTTATTTTTTATATCGGTGGTGGAAGGACTCTGCTTACCTGCACACGCACTAATACACAAACTTGTAAATACTTGGTAACAAGTACATTTTCTGTATTTAAATATGTACATTAGTATCATCAGAGAAATGTGCTTAAAGTGTCGAAATTAGAAGTACCTATTTCACTGATAAAATATCAATATCAATGCATCAAACCTGTGACAATGTTGTTTTGTAATTCTAAAATCTTAATTTGAAAAGTATCAGATAAGTGAAGTAGAATAATAAAGTAGCATCAAATGAAAGTACTGTAGTATATTACACATAAATGAGACTTGTTCAGTATCCAAGCAACTACTATAAACCACTGATAAACATGCAAATATAACCAAAACAATAAGTAATATTTGTTTGTTGGGCTGATGTTAGGATATCACAGTATTACAAATCAAGTTATATTCAAATATTCTCACTTTATTCTCACTTTAGTATGAGACCCTATGTATATTGTACATAATTGGCTCTATAGTGGCAGAGCAAGTGTGTTAGCGATATTAGCTGTTGGGTGCTGATACAGGGGTTATGGCCCAGGATAAATGTTTAATTTATAACGTTTTTATAGTTGTTGGCTACAGAATCCCTTTTCACACGTATAGCTAAAGAAGCAGAACCACTGAATAATCAAAGAAGGTTAGAGTGACCTGCGGTACTTGTTCCTGCAGCTTTTGCATTGGTGTGGTAAATACAAAGACAACACACTAACAACAATATTAAAGTTAATACAAGTCCACAAGGAAAAAGGAGCTGACAAAGTACACAAAACATAGACACACTTTAGTTTAATGAGGCCGAGGTTTTTTATCCTCAGAGGAAAGTTGGTTATGACACTAATTTGTTGCGGGCGGTTGAAGAGTGGGAGGTGTGTGGCGCAGTGGGTTGGTGCGTTGGTGTTCGGATCAAGGGAGCACAGGTTCAAACCCCACTGCAGTCAGCATGCCGTTGTGTCCCTGGGCAAGACGCTTCACCCCAAATTTCTCCTGTGGGGATTGCCCACAGTATGTAAGTCGCTTTGGATAAAAAAGTAACATGTAATGTAATGAAGAGAAATCGATATCCTTCACAAGAGTTAGTGACTTGTGTGTGTGGTTGGTAAGGTTATTTATTGTGTCTTGCACACACAAATTCCCATTCCATGTGGACTTATAGGATGCCAAAAGATTCAGTTCTTTATTATTATCCATCCAGAGAAACTCATCAGAAACGAAAGATAGATTAATACGAAGTATAGGCCCTAAATCATCACATAATGGCCAATAAAACATGATCAGTCATCTTCAGTCTCTCCTAAATCACATAACTAACGACGCCTTTTCTCTTCGGGGAAACAATTAAATCTTTTCTCTGTAGCTAATGGTAATGTACCTGAGCTCATCTGTGCACTGCACACAGAGATCTTTGACTTTTAGCTCAGTTCTGCTTCACATAAGGCTTTACACTGGTCCTTTCTCATGAGAGCATATGTTTTTAATTTAGGTTTGTAGCAGACATCAAGAGACCCTCTTTACTCATTCATCAGGGATCATTTGCTCGGAGCTTCTCACGTATAACACTGCACTGCTTTGTAAAATACAGAATTAAGGATACCAAATTTAGATTTCTCCTCACTACACAGAAAAGTCCATGAAAGAATATTCATCTCTAATAATGAAGTGCTGTAAGGGCATATTCACGTCAGATGTTTCTACTGTAAAATAACAGTTTCACAGTGTCTTAAATCAAAATATACCATTTATATCTTGAGTTAAGATTCTAATTAAGGTCTATGGTGTCTGATATTTCTTTAGCATCGTCCTGAGGCTGCAGTGTTTGAAGATGATCTATTAAAAACCCTAATTTTTCATATTCACACATGCACTCCCTTATATCTTTGGAGGAATAAATCAACTAAAACATGTCAGGAAACAACACAACACGCTGCCCACACCGTCAGAAATCAAGTTTGATAAAACATCTGTCATCACAACCTGCTCTGCTCAAATTAACTGCTAAATTCTGACAAACATGATTTGCAAAAACATGCTAACAGCCGCCCTTGCTAGACAGACATAGTGGTATGTGTTAGCTATGGAGAACACTATGTAACACTGCAGGGCTTTATTTAAGAGCAAGTGCCACTGTTCACTGATAGAATTGGATGAAGTATTTGACAGAAAGTCCATTAAAAGAGATGGAGCTGTGAGGCAATTAAAGAGTGCTGAGGGAAGCAGGACGGGGGGCTTTTTATATTACAGTTCAGACACAGTATGGAAAATGAGAAGAAAGCCATCTACTGTCACAACAGCTGCTATTAATACAACAAGTGGTCACTCCTGTCGTCCTGCCGTCATGAAGTATCTCTATTGAAAGTGAATGAAATGGCTAAGTGCACCTTACCCATAAAGTGCAGTGCGGGTCAAATGTCCGTCAGGCCGGTGTTTATAAGGTTGTTGTATTAAAGACCTTGAAAGAAAAGTTAAGATCACAGCTGAAACTCATATTCCCCATCCCACATACAACTTTAACGTTAAATATAATGTAAACTCAAAATACTGCATTTCTGATAAAAGGAAAACAGTCTGTTGCTGAGAGTTAAATGCATGTAACGTGTGAGCTGTTTACATTTTCGATGTATTTTTTGTATAGAATAATGCCTTTGGTTATCAGCCTTTTCTGTATTTAGCCACTTAATGTTAAAAAAAATGCAAAACCGTTAAAATCTCAAGTTAAATGGTTTGTACCAAAGTTTAGAACCTAGCACTCGCAGATATAACATTATGATAAAAGGCAGAGGAAAGAAAAACATAATTTTCTAATAATACTAAATAGGACACATTTTCTCTAATTATACTTTCTTTTGTGAATTACCGGATACTTTAACTCCTTCAGAACTTGTACCAGCTATTCATAAATCCATCTCTCAATTTGTGTGTAAATGTGGTTATATCTTTACATTTTAATGGTATACGGCAAATATGTTAGTAAGCTAATATTAGTATTGCCATTTAATTAAGTAAGATACAATTAAAGCTGGCAGTTAACTACGGTGTGTCAATTGTTTAGTAACAGCTAATCTCTACATAAAAAAAGTGTGTCCCATTTGAATTAAAAAGCACTTATCTCTGCTTGCATTATAGGCTAGTTCAGACCCTACAAAGAGCTGATGCAGTCATCTCCTTGAGGTAGAGACTGTCTCAGAGGCCTTGTAAAAAATATAAAAAACTACCCAAGAGGAAAACTCAGTCTTTGGCTTAAAAATGTATGTACACGTTTAGTTTTGAATGGGCAATTTGCTGTAATGAAGCTAAAATAACAGGGTTGGGAACCAATTACTGTGACAATGACTTAAATGCGGGCATATGATGTAAATATTGAGTCACACAATGTCATATCAATGTCAGTATTAATGAATGAAGGCTGTCCTTTAAGCAGAAATGTAATGTTTCCTTCCTGTTTGTCACGGTGCAGGTCCAGGCTGGGCTTAGACAAAGAGCAAGGGATGATTCACCTGGAGATCACCATCTCTGACGGAAGTGAGTCATAAAATGATGTTACCTTGGCAACGCAGAAAAGTAGACTAGTGACATTTTTAAAGAGATTTTGCATGAAAATATTCACCTTTATTATAATTCCTGAACCTTAACTTAGAAAAACAAGTGAGAGCTTTTTTTATGCAGTACTAAAACGTGCGTTCCTATCTGAATCGGCTGCATGGAGACTCTTCATACGATTAAGCTAATTCATCTTTCAACGGCCAGGCTGTGACTTGGCTCTTTTTATTGGCCACAGTGCAGAGAGGGAACTTCCATAAGGCCTCGTGTGTTAATGCCCCGTCCCCGGGGGAACCGCCTCGTTTGGCTGACGCTAACACACTGGGACAGCTCTCTCTCTACTTGATCTATTAGTGAGAATAAGGTTTGGCCTTCAAAATGTTGCCTCTATGGCTCACTTAAAACCATCAGCATAAGCTAAACCTTGATTGTGGACTGCAGACCGTTGTTTGTTTTTCTCTCTGTCATATTTTTAGCACTCATTTCTTGCTTACCCACAGGGTCACAGTACATAACTTGTAAACTTCAGAATTGCTCTGATGGAAACAAGGGCAAGCCTTTCCCTGGATTTATCATCCCTAATTCCCTGGTGGTTCAGGATGAATACGTTTTCATCCAGGTGGGTTTTTATTGCAAGGTCTGGCTTCATTAAAGAGCAATTAAAAGCTGTAAAACCACTGCATTCAATCGTAACTTAATGTACAGTCATATTTTTCATTAACTAGAAAGGGGCCATTATCCTGGGAAAGGATGGCATGAAATGTAAATCACTTTGTGTATTTTACTCTAACATCATTCTGCCATAATGCACAACATCCTAATTAGGAGGAAACCCAGAGTTTTGGTGCTGGCTTAAATGCTTTGATACATGCTGTTAGCAATCAGTGTGCACAGTGAGTCTTAGTAATATTTACCTGAAATGTGATTTAACTGCTAATTTCACTATATTGCCTTTCCAGGTGCCAGTAGGTGGTCAGTCTGTCCATTATGTGTCCTATAAAAGAAATGCTTTCTACCCAATGAAGCTTCCCAAGTATACTCTGCCAAAGGTAAGACTGCTGGAAGGGATGCAGTGTTCGGTGAGTTGCAGAAGAACAAGTGCGGCATTCATTTTACTGTGAAACACTCCATTTATTCCCGCAGGCTGTTTTGTGGTATCATGATGACTTAGTGAGGGATGCTTAGCTGTTCCCGGTTAGTCATAATGTTTGCTGACAAACCCATTAAATTGTTTCCCCCATTATTATCCTCCTCAAAATTGATTTTGTTATACATGATTACATTTTTAGATGTTGTGCTTATTTAGGACCAATGGATCGTCTTTTAATCAGTTGCCCTCTCGTCTGTATCAACAGATACAGATAATGTGAATGGATGCAGAGCTGCACATTTTCCCCATAACTCCAAAGGAAGTTTTTGAAGCAGAGAAGTAAATGTGCTTTTGCACAGAAACAGTGTTTTGCTCTCAACCCCTTTTGCTCAAAGCCCAGCAGGGTGGCTTAGTGGTTTTAGAGAGAATGGTGGTTATAGTCACAACAACAAGGAGAGATTTATTGCCTGCAGTGTTGTTTCCATCCGTCCATCCATCAATCCATCCACCTATCCATCTATAGTGTCAACATTTCCTCGAGATGGACACACATCCCCTACCTCACCTCACTCTGGAAAAGGTATTCAGTAAAATTAAATGGAGCCTGTCTTCATCTTTGAACAGGCTGCTGATCCTGGCTGAATGATGTCATAAGTAACAAATCGCTTGCTCGCTGCTTGAACTCTGAAGCCAATATGCTCACACTTATATGCAGATTTTTTTTAACTCCTTTGGATGAATGCCTAAAACTCGATGGCATGTACAGTACTCATGGATTTCATACATTTAGGACCTGCAGATAATCAGCACAGATGACAACCAGGTGGTGGCAGCGATTCAGGACTGGCACCAGAACGACTCCTACAACCTGTACATGTCTGAGTCCAGAGGGCTGTTCTTCACCCTGATGCTGGAGAACGTTGTGAGCAGTGGAGGACCGGAGGGCAACATCATGATAGACCTGTATGAGGTAGGCAGTGGCGGTGGAAAACTCATGTTGTCTGAAGGGCACCAGCTGTATGAGCAAGGCATTAGAACGCAAAACGTTTCCTACCGTGAAGGGCTGCCTGGAGGGCACTACATCATGTTTTCATAATTTTAAGGTCACCCTAGGGGGCACTTGTTTTCTCCATGTAAGGACACCCTACAAAGCACTTTATCATGTTTTCTCCACTGGAAGGGCACAGGAGAGGGCACTTTATCATGTTCTATCTACCAAAGTAGTATCCAAGATGGTACTTAAGCTGTGTGTTTTCGCATTATGTCCACCAGTTGTTTGGTGGTGCTGTCTTCCTTTACAAGTTTTCATCTTATTCAGGCATTTCAATCTCAATGGAAATCCCTGACCTGGGTTCATAAGTGTTGCTGTTTATAGAACAATGTTTCAAAATCAGTAAATGTTGACAATTAAACCAATCTATTGTCCTCTCTTCTTTTGATTAAAAGTGGCATTTGCCCGTTGTTATCTCCTGTAGCTGATTGTGATGACATCAGCGGCCTTGTTTATCACACCAAAACATTTTTTTTCAGCTGTCCAAAACCATGCATTTGCTAATGTTAAGAGAAATACAAAGATGCATTTCAAATTATAGAAAAGAGAATCTTTGCTTGAAAAATGACTCAAATTATTAACTGATTATCGAAGTTAACATAATATTGCAGGACAAAATTGTGTTCTTAGGATGACATGTTTTGACTTTTTATACACATAGTTACCAATAATGAAAATAAAACGTAGCTGTACTTTAGTAAAGTACCTCTTAAATGTATCCATCAATCAACTCACACTTACATTTAATTCCGAATCTTCAACCCATCTACCCTTTATGTCTTTTACAATGAGAAGAAACAGTGTATCTTAGAGCACCATGCATGTCTAAATCGCTTGTTTGGAAGCTTTAAAGAGATCAAGGTCTTCTGACAAGTAAAGTAACAACAGACAGCCTCCAACTTTGCTTACAGTTAAAGTTGATTTTCCCCCGTGCTTTTCTTAAGTGTACCCTGTGCTCAGATCTCTTTGGTGTCTCGACAACAATGGAACAGATGTTGGTGCATTGCATTCTGCAACTGAAAGACTTTCTCTTTCATATCCACTTCCTGTCGGCTTTTATTATCTGTGACATTGTAACATGTAACAAATGTAGTAGGTGCAGTCTTCAGGTAACGTACCAACTATACATTAGTCACTTCAAACACATACAGGGTAAAAAAGCAGCTTTAACTTGTAAACGTTATATCTGCGTTGACAGATGTGCTTTGAGGTTCCCAGTGACTGCACATGTATGTATCACTTATCGTCATCTGCAGCCAGCACTAAAAGCCTTCTAGTTTACGAATGCACACCGCAGATAGCCATCAGCATTGGTTATTCTTACTGCTCACTGACCTCCACACACATTGTTGGCCTAGAAATATTTAGCTGCAATGACCAAGAGCAGATATGTAATGGAAGAGGAATGTGTGCTGAAGAAATAGTTGCATGTGAGAGTCTGCGTCTCTGTGAACATAAGTACAAAGAAGAAGGAATAGCTCAGTGATGCGCCATATGTTGTTTTGATTCTGCAGAGTCCTACAGATGGTCAAAAATAGTGCTCCCTGTCAGAAAAACTATCACATTCAGACATATTTTCCTCTCTGATTCAGGCCCGCAGCTTTACTTAAGTCTGAATAATTTAAGGTTTCTTTTTTTCCTTCCCTTTTTTTTCTTTTTTTCTCCCCACCGCTCTCCATCTCTCATGTTTGCAGGTTGCCGGGATTAAAGGGGTGTTCCTGTCAAATAAAGTTGTAGAGAACCAAGTGAAAACTTATATCACATACAACAAAGGCAGAGACTGGAGGCTTCTTCAGGCTCCAACCACCGATCTCCAGGGAAACAAGGTCTATTGTGAACAAGTAAGTGGGCCACTGACAAGAGATACATATTTGGATTACCATTGTGTGCCTACAAAAATACTACAACTGGATGATGCCATGCTGTGGTCAAAGGGAAAATAAATGTAATTACATTCAAACAGCTTGGACACGACACCTTTGCCATGATTTACCATAGGCCTACTGTCACTCACTATTGTGTCAAGTTTTAATAACATAAGTTATTTCAGCATAAATGTCTTTAAAATACAACATGAAGTCATTAAATTAACCTTATGTTGTTGTTTTGAGTATAAATAGTATAAGCAGCAGTGGTAGTAGTATGTATGTGAATAGCTTATTGGGGATTTTATCATAATATATCATATGCTGAATTGTATTACATTTTCTATCATAAGTATAAAAATGTGTTTTGAGTGCAGTGTAGTAGCATCTTTTTAAACAAATTATATAATATACAATTTAATAAATCAAGTTAGAAGGACTATAACCGGTCATTATTCATTACAAGAGCTAATTACAGCTTCAGTCAAAACTGTTTTTAGTTTTTTTGTTCACTGTTCAAGATAAGTTTGGGTACATGGCAGCAAGTTAAACACTTTAGTTTATCACATGCTCACAGGGTGAGACCAGGTACTAAAGGAAACAGTGTAGATAGTAGGAAAATGCATAATAATGCAGGAGCACACACATCGGTAGACCCATTCGACAAATAAAATGTAAATGACTATAACCCTATCCAGAGGCCATTCTTAGCCATACATCATTTCTAAACAGGAACTTTTTATGAGCCCAATAAAGGTCTCGTGAAAAATTGCATCATCATACTCTCATTAGATGTTAAGCTGCAATACCGCCAACCATAATACGTGAATTTACACATTGTTATTCTTCTATATCGAGCTACCAGCATACATTACAGTATATTTCTAGCAGGAGCCTTGATGGGGTATGATAATAGCTATGTATGTGTGTGTGTGTATGTGTATGTGAAAACTTTCAAACATCATTTTTTCCTTAGAAAGATAGAGTCATAATCATGTCAGAAGTCATTATGACACATAATATACAACAAAAACCAGGTCTGTATCAAACCTTTCGATTTCACACTTAGAGCTCAGCAAACCAATCCCCCTGTGTTTGTGTTTGCAGCCTTATTGTTCGCTACATCTCCACCTCCACGTGTCAGAGAATCCCTACACCTCGGGAAACATCGTCAGCAAAGATTCAGCTCCGGGAATAATCATAGCGTCAGGTGAGGGGATTATTGGATTTGAATATCCATACTCATGTTTCATAATGGTCCTTCCGATCTGATCCCTAAGCCCTCCCAGTCATATACGTTCTTAAACCCAGTTCCTAGTGCAGTATTTCTGTATGTAGCTGACACCAGTTTACAAAATAAGATGAAATTAATCCTTGCTGTACATCTGTTACATGTTAATACTGTGGAAATAATAATCCCCCAAATGTGTCTGAATAAATACTCAAATAACAATAGAGTAACTATACTGAACATAGTGCTTGTCTACCTTTTGTATTCAGGTGTTGTCGGACCAGAGCTGACCAGTAATAATGTCAGTATTTTCATCACATCGGATGCTGGAAACAGCTGGAGAGAGGTACAGCTTTCTTCACTAATACATTTATTTTCTCAATTGCTTGAAATCCTTTGCCTCAGTATGATACAGAACAAAAAGAAAAATATGACCTTGTCAGGCATTATCTAAACAAAGAATATGAGTGTGACTGAGCTTTCAGAGCAAACACTCGCTTCTCAGTTCTCAGTGAAACAGCCACAATTGCAAAGACATAAAGAATTGAGGTTTGGCGCCGAGTGAAGACATGTGCATCTCTGATCTGTGGAACAAATAAACCAAAATAAACTTTGACAGATTTTTATTTTGCCATCGGCTGAAGACAACAACAATCAACAAAGAAAGCAAGACTTTGTAACTTTTGTTTATCACACAACTGGGATTCTTGTGCAAAGAACGGTTGTGGTTTGCACTTGTTTGGTGTGTAGTTGTTAGTACACATGTTCCTTATGTTGCCATAGGTGCACACTTTCTGTAGACTTAAATTCTTGTCTGTTGTGATGAAGTGAAGCTGGTCCTGTCTGCAGCTTTTTTACTTGTTTTATTTGTTATACTCATAGGTTTTTCAGGAAGAATACAGCTTGTTTTTCCTGAATCAAGGGGGATCTCTTGTGGCCATCCGGCACACACCGCTGCCAATTAGACACATTTGGTAAGTCTCTCCAAGGGCGTACCGCATTCTTTTTAGAGACTGTACTAAATCTTCAAAACAAGGAGTTAGACTGCTTTTCTGCAGAGATTTTCTTACTGTTTGTGTCTGGTCTGTCTGTGATCCAACCATTGTTCTTTCCCTTAGGCTGAGTTTTGATGAGGGCAGAAGCTGGGACAAATATAGCTTCACCTCCTCTCCGCTGTATGTTGACGGGGTGCTGGGGGAGCCTGGGGAGGACACCCTCATAATGACGTAAGATAAGAAGAAACCACAGGGAACTGACGTGTTTCTGGTTTAAGTATTCCACTGGGTAATAACATATTACCCCAATGAAGACTTAGTAGTGTACATAAATATTCTATTATAGAGTCTATTTAATGTGGTTTTGAAAGGGTTTCATATGCCCAAATTGCGGATGAGTTTCTCTACCCACAGAGGAATATGGATTAAAGCTGTTGCCTTCAAATTACCCATAGAGGAGTTGAGGTTGTTTTTTTTCTACCAAATGTTTTTGATATTGTATATTTTGCTTGTTTGTGCAGAATCTTTGGTCATTTTAGCCATCGATCTGAGTGGCAACTTGTCAAAATTGACTTCCAGTCCATTTTCAAACACCGCTGCACATCTGAAGATTACATGACATGGCAGTTACACAATGAGGTAAGAGGGTCTGAACAAACCCAAGTGAATCTCTTTGAGTCACTCACACAATAAAAGCAAGATGGTACAAGACAAAAAAAAGGCAAAAGGAGCCTCTGAAATGTTTATGATGCATTATTTATCACAGGGCGAAGTGTGCATCATGGGAATGAAGAGAATCTTCCAAAAACTGAAAGCAAACGTTCGATGTGTCAACACCAGAAATCAGTATATTTCCCAGATGTCAGACTCCTGCCCGTGCACAGAGGCAGATTTTGAGTGGTGAGTTTCCTACTCTGTAGCTGCACTACTCCTTTCACTTCATTACATCCAACGCACAACACATTATCAATCTCCAGAGGCAGAGTCTGTGAAGCTCTCTAGGCACAACAAGAGGAGTGTTTGAAGAGATATATTTTAGGATTTAAAACTTTTTATCTTATTTCTGTTATCTTTCTGTCCACTTAGGATTGCAAGTGTGTAATATGACTTAAGAAACATGCAATCAGTTGTCTGCTAGGCATGGATAATGTTTATATACGATTATGGTTGCAATCAATATGCCAAAACAGATTTTCTTTTGAATTTGAATTTAATATTCATCCCAATATGGATTAAATAATCAAACTGATGTTTTCAATGCTGTGTACTGTATAATCATATCGTCAATTTAACTGGCAGAAGTTGACTGGAAGTATTAAAGCTCAGCATTAACAGTCAAGTATGTGATAGCAGTACATTTCTGCATCGTTCAAGTTATCTTATATATCCATAATGAATACAACTATTGCCTGATGCTCAAGTCTATTATTATATGTCTAAAAAGTGTCACTTCCAGTCAGTACTTCTCGTACTTTCTTCCATTGGAAAATGAACTGCAGCTTCTAGTTTAGTAACAAGGCTGAACACCACTTTAATACTAAAAGCCTTATTTCAACTTTCCAACTCGTTCTCCTGAGACTGTTTCCCTGATCAACATGACAGATCCATTTGATTTTTCTCAAAGTATAATTATAGTTTTTGTAAACATGCACTATTCTTTCTCTGCTTCAGAAGTTTGATACATAAAACATCAAATCTCACATACTCTGAGCGGCTGTGAAAAGTTTGACTCGATCTTTGAACACCTTTATTCTCAGTAGGGATGCAGTTATTTAGTTTTATTCTTTTTGAGCTGAGTAATTCTATTTGATATTTTAAATGAATGATAACTACTCCCGATAACTCCTCGTGTATCTTTTTCTGTACTTGTTGTTCCGACTGAAACAGCGACTACGGGTTTGAGAGGCAGATTGACGGGCGCTGCACTCCGGCGTTCTGGTTTGTTCCTTCAGCAACATCTAGAGACTGCATCAGGGGGGAGAGCTTCCTCAACACCACAGGGTACACTTTATTCCTTCGTACTGACACGAGCAAGGGGAGTAGCGATGTCAAATTGTCCTTGGTTACTTTCAAACTCAACCTGCTATTTTGTATTTTACCTATTATGCAAAATCCACTTTTTCATGTCTCTTCTACATAAACATGTGTCCCCTCTGTGTAAAGAGATTCTGAAAGTTTCAGGAACAAAGACCCCCTCTCTTTTTGTCCAGATCCATTTATATAAAAACCTGTCTGAAAATGAGCTGATCAGATTGTGGCCAGTTTGTGATGTCATAATGTTTTTTGGGTTGTGTAACCATTAGCCAATCACCAACCAAGATAACATCCCCCCCCCCACCTTATCACCTGAATCTCCTCCTAAAGCACCATTGTGTTCTTTTTAACCAAATATCTCTCAGAGGGGCGTGGGGAGGGGCTCCTTATTTTCATCTAAAGTAACAGACACAGAAGCAGCACTTTTGAAACAGAGCTGAAACAGAGGAGATTATGGGATGCTGCCATGCATGATCTGTTTGGTATTTCAGCCAAACACTTCAGTGACATGTTTGTATGGAACTGAGAAGATTAAAAAGATTCAAGATTCAAAGGTTATTGTCATAATGCACAAAGCTACAGTGTAGAAATGGCAATGACATTCTTCTGACCTGAGCTCCTCCAACAATGCAACATATATTAGAACTATAATATATTGATGACAATGAGTATAATAGGGGACCTTTAATTTAAAACACTATCAATTATAAATACTTAACTTATAAATGGAAGGAGGAAAAATGGAAAACTAACAGGTTAAGAAATGATGAGGCTGTTCTTTAGGATATTTATTGCCAAAATAACCATTGAACTACAAGCCATAACAAGTCGATTGCACCTGAACACCACATGCTGCAATTGATAGTGCTTGTAAACTAGTTGGCAATCGAGTAGTGAAGTCAATGTAATTAAAATGTAATGGACAGATAGTTAAAAACGTCAACATTTTTAACGACAGCTATATTTTGTGTGCTAAGAATATTCTAACAATATAATTGTATTTGTAATAGTGTTGTGTTAACTAACATCTGTTACAAATTGACACGGTTTTAACTGATGGCTGATGTTAATAAAAGCTAATTGAGCTCATCTGATGGAGCGTAGGGGGAATGGTAGACTAAAGAGGTGGTGGTTTCTCTCTTTTGAATGTGTCCCCTGTATATATCTGCTTTTACACACATCCACACACAGTTATATATTTTTGTGTCGCTTATTTGTGTCCTTTGTGGGTCTTAAATGAATTTTAGATACCGCCGGGGTTTGTCTAACAACTGCACAGAGGGGACGCTGTTGAAGTACAGCCCCAGGCGACAGAAGTGTCCCAGCCATGCCCCCCGGGGCCTCCAGCTCTTCACCAGCGAGGGAACACTGGTAGCAGCGCTGGAGAGGAATGTCACTTTCTTGGTCTTTCTGGAAGAGGTGCTGACTTTACTTTATCGAAGCAACAGTAGTGTGTGTGTTACAGTTCTAGGCTGCATGCTTTTTCTTCAGTCTTTTATCTTTATATCACGATGCTGTCAGAGACATAGTGCAGAGGCTGGAGCTCCAGCTTGTCAAATCAATGTGCGGCGACATGATTAACCGCTTGACCTCGTTTTTGTATATATTCTTGTATATATTATGGAAAATGCACTCTGCTATGTGTCACTGTGGCAACACTGAGGCTAAAGTGTGAGTGACAGTATTTTGTTTTCTTTTTGAAGGGTCTCGGCTCCATGACAAGTATAACGGTGGACTTTGGCGACGGGACGGCTATATCATATGTTAACATCAGCTCCATCGATGACGGGGTCAAACACATCTACAGCAGAGTTGGCATCTACCACATTTCTGCTACAGCAAGCAACTCTCTGGGCTTTGACAGGGTCCTACTCTTCCTCCATGTCACCTGTAAGTCAAATCACTGGTAACTGGTTCCAATGAGTTTTGAATGTAAATCCTTGCCCTTTTCCATCCAGAATACTCTTTGAGTTAATGTCTATCTGAATGTATTCACTTGCATAGTACCCTTTTAATTGACCTCATCACATGATAAGGTGAACTTGTTAAGAAATAACCTCATTTTACTTAAGTGACTACACCATAAACTAAGTCTCAATCATTTCTCATGTCTTATCATGAACTATAAGATACTTCAAATAGGTACAACTTCTAGACTTGTGTGCCTTTTACAAAGCAAAAATAATTTTAACACCTGGGCCAACATGCTCTTGACTCTTGTACCTTCAAATTGGCTCGTTAAAGGAAACTACATCCAATATCTCTACACAAAGTTTGGAGTGTCACTCACCCTGTGTAGGCGTGAAAGACGGCTGTTTGTTGTCTCCTGGTTGAAAGAGAGGAGCAGCTGTGGTCAGTTTGAATTCTTCTCATTACAATGGATTCCAAGGGTGACATTTTCAAGGATGTTAAGCATTGAAAGCCTCCACAGACACTTGTCAAATACTCCTGCATTAAATCAGAAAGAGTTCACTCAGTGTGTTGCAGGCTATCATTATTGTGGCAAAATCCATGGCTTCTGTTGCAACTTTGATAGTTGTTTAGCCATATTTAATCACAAGATGTTGATCCATAGTGTTTTTGTTTTCTCTCTTAAGGTCAACTCGAACAGATTCAGCTCTTGGCTCCTTCAGTGGTCGTCAAGAACAAAGCGATAAACCTCACGACGGTGTTACGGCCCAGCAATGTGGGAACAGTCAGCTATTACTGGTGGTTTAATAACAAAACAGAGGTAAGCCTTTATTTTTCATTCTCTACCACGCAGCCTATTTCCTGAATGACATGATAGATTCTCAAGTCGCAGTACATCTTCCTCTCTCTCTGACTCTCTCTCTTTCAGCCTGTTGTGACTCTGGATGGAACGATGTCCTTCACTTTCTCCAAGGAGGGAAGCCACACTGTCACCGTTCAGGCTTCAGTCGGCAATACTGTTCGACAGGACCAAATGACTGTGGCCGTTTATGGTAAACTCAATACAAGTACACATCCTCTTAATATAATTACAAAGTGAAAACTATGAAGTCAATTATGCACTCATCCATTGAGAGTGGATTGAAACATGTTTTACAATCTTCAAAGCCTTTTGACGTGAAAAAAAAGAAGCCTTTCACAAGGTCTGCTTACTGATTTTCCCGAGCTTTCGTGGCCTTCATCAGCGGTTTAATTATTATCACACGAGCTAAAACTATGGAATTCGACCTCATCCTATCAGCTGGTTGTACTGTATGTGGATTTAATTAACTCAAAATCGCTGATGAAGGCCATGACACGTTAAAAAGCAATTTGGTAGACCTTCTAAAATGAATGATTTTTAATAAGAAGCTGATTCCAAGTGTAAGCAACATTATTCTAATTCCGTGTCTATTATATATATATATACATATATATATATATATATATGTCTTACATATGGAACTATTATACCTGTAGTAGTGAATTACGTCTACATTGAACATTCAAAATAAAAACACATATAACTTGGAAATAATGCAACGTTTTTTTACTTTAATGCCTCTATATATTTTTGTTGCAGTTTTAAATTCTTTAAAATGTTCAACAAATTCAAATTGGTTAATATCGTTGAGGCTTCTCTTACGTATATGTTTAAGAAGGCGTTGGATATTAAGTAGATCTCCATTGAAAACAATGCATTTTCTAACTGCCGGTAGTTATAAATGAATATGTTTTATTATAGGAACCCAACTGTCTTGTCTTGTGGTGCCTATTAAACAAAGTTATTGAATTAGTGATGGATAATGATGCATTGCGTGCACATAAATAAAAAACCACAAACCAAATCTTTTTGCTTCTTACCTCGCCAAGATAGAAATGTCATCATACATCTCATGCACCTTTCAGGGGTATAATATGTAAAACCCTATAAACATTTCTGAACCTTGAGACAGAAATAAGTTCAGTTCTCTTCGTCAATTTGCAGTTTGGTAATCACATTACCATTTAAGCCTAGCCTAAATAATTTGTAAGGAATATACAGAGTCAGTACAGTACTCAGTAGTCATTTGAAGTGTCCGAAGTGGATTAGTTCAACAGAAGATATGCATTGTTCTTCATCTCAAATTCTTTCTCACTTTCAGATTATTTCCGGTCCCACATTTTGGGCTTTTCTTCTCATTTGGACGAGCTGAACCCCGGGGTGTCAGAGTGGAGAGAGGACATCAGCCGAGTGGTGAAGAACTCCATGGTCCAGGTCAGATCTTCAGCTGCTAGCTTTTATTATAAAAACTGTAATTCAGTCAGGACTTAACCCTTAATTCGAGAAATACTTAAGTCTTGTCATGTGAGCCACTGACCTTTCCATTCTCGGTTATGCTGCGTTTGTATTGCATACCAGCACTGGACTTCTTTCAATGTCTTTAACCTCACTTTCTGTGTAATTAGTTGTTAACCTCTCCTCGCTGACATGCCACATCACCTGAAATGATTATTAGCAGTGCAAGCTTTCAACTGAACCCGTCAAAAAACTAAAGGGCAGTTAAAGCACCATTGTGACAGTAACCATTTGTTCTCTAAAGAGCTGAATGCCATTGCCTGGAGAGAACACCAAAACCTGAAGTTCAAATAGCGTAACTGCGGTTAGAGAGTCTGGTTTCCCCTTCTCAGACACTGTCAGGATGTCAAAAAGGCAGCAGGTTATGTAAAAGACCTGGATACTGAGCTCTATATATATATATCCTACAGTAGCCCTCAGTATGAAACATTCACTTTGACCTTCTGTCTTGTCAGATATTACCATGGTTTACACCAGGAAGCTGACAGCAGACCTCTGGTTATGGCATACATGCACTAAAAGCCCTGGCTTTTACCAAAGACTGTCAAATTAAACTTGCATGTTTCATTTGATCCGTGCATTACATCTTGACAGTGACTGGTACTTAGGCAAATGATATATGAAGCTGAGAGCTAGCCGTTTTCACTCAATGACACAGGGCACACAAAGCATAGAATATCACCTCAAACACTGTCAATTAAAAAACCTTTTTAAGGAGGTTTTGTTGTTTTTATTAAAGGTCACGGGAATCAACAAGGGACAGCTCCTGGTCACAGTGCTCCCTGGTTTACCAACAACAGCAGAGATTTTCATCCTGCCTGAGAAGAGGCCAAGAGTCGGAGGCATGGATGAAAAGTGGGCTCACCTGGATCAGGTACCGTCTTATTAAACCGTTCAAACAGCCGCTGGCATATGCCCGCTACAATATACATCTGCAATAGACAAAATAAAATATATCTCAACTGAATGTAATGTCTTGCGTGGGTTAATATGTGCAGCACAATATGTACAGAAGCACATGACCTATGTAAAAGGTTACACCATATAGCCATAAATACATACATCACAGTATTTTCCATATTTGTTCACATCTTGGGCTTGAAACCAAAGTTAATTTCCACTTCATTTCATCAGCACTTGTAGTCCAGTTTTCCTTTGTTGGAGGTTTTGCCTGCAGCCAATTTGTGTGATAGCTTTGCTTGTAGCCAAAAGTATCCTGTGCCATAATTTCATCCATAATTTCATCCTGGTATAATGCAACAAAAGAGCCATCATCCTCTATTCATCATCTCCGTTGCAATCTCTTGCCAATATAAAAAAGTTGATTTCAGTTGTGTCTTTCCTTCATATTACTGCAATCATCCTCAATCTATCTCCAATTTCTGTTTGACATTGACGGTAAAGTAGTTTGGGGAGTTTTCTGTTCCATCATATACTTGTATTTTTGAAATTAGTTGTTGAGTTGTTTTAAATCTTATATGCTTCGATGAATACGTTCAAATTAGATCCGCTGTCCTTGGTAGATACTTGAATTATTTTTCCTCTCAGGCAGCCATTGGTTTTCTATAAATGTGAGCCTTCAACGAAAATCAACTTGTAGAGACTTCAAATTTGATTTAGGTGAGGCAATATATCACAATGAGCATCATGTCTGCATTTATCTTCGTCAAAGTTACATTATTGTTGCATTCTAACACAGTTTTAAGTGCAGCTTTATTTGGAAAGTCTGCACTCTGTCCCCGCGTAACAATAAGGTTACGTTTGACAAAAATAAATGCAGACATGATGCTCATTGTGATGGATTACCGAAGTCAGACAAGTTTAAAGTCTCTGCAAATGTATTTTCATACCAGGGAGAAATGATTGGACACCACTGGCTGCATGGTAGGTAGGGGAAACACTATGTTATTCCTCGGAAAAGGTCAGCGGTAATGAAGAGTGTACATTTTTTGTAGTAATTGGGGTAAAAGATGTGGAAAAACTCTGGCGTGGTTCATTAAGGGATAACACGCAGAGAAGAAAAGGAATACTTTTCTATAGATGGCACATAAAACCCGTTTCATCTCATATTTCTCCATAGGACATAATTAGGTTTAAGATTAAACCCCTTTTGATTTCCTGCAGAATTATTCACTTAAAGTACTTCTTCTCAAGCACTGCATTTGTGTTTTTATATTGCAACACAAATTTGATTTATATAATTAAAATATTTTGTATTGCTAATTACTACTTCACTAATTGAATCACAGACAATCAATGTTGTAATGTTCCCACACATTTTGTTTTCAATTCCTAATAAAGGGGTAATACATAATTTCAACACTAGAGGGCAATGTCTTCCCGTGTAAAAGCAACGAGACAGCATCCAGCACTGAAATGAAACTCACCAAGCATCTCCAAACACGCTGTAACCTCACTGCCACCCTTTAGAAGTTTGGAACTTGCTCAAACCTTTAGACAATAACAGTCTCATAATTATTTCAATCCCTCTAATGGCTCTAATTATTGTCTTACGACAAAAACATATTATTTAAAAACTAATCTCTCTCAAGTTATGGATAGCTATTAAATACGTGACAAAACAATAAAACCGTGCTGTTTTTAACGCTTCAGCTGAACCAAAACTAATTTATTCCTCATAACAGAGAGGACCTCAATGTTTCAAAAATAAACATCATTTTGCTGGCTAACGGTCTTCAACTAAGTTAATAGGTATTTAATTACATTGATGCATCATATAATTGGCAGCTTTGAGAAAGGAAACAAACTGGGGCAGGCGGCCTGGATTGGGAATTAAAGAGATGTATTTATCTAAAGCCTGTCTGATTACCTGGCAGAACGTCACAGACAATAGGGTAATAAATCTTCAGTTCACCGCTCTCCTCTCCAGTGAATGACTTGCAATGTGGATGCAATAATTCAGCGTGTGCCCACACATACACACATGCATGTGGTGAGTGTATGTGTGGAGCAGCTTATTAAAATGTGTAATAGATTTACTGACCCTGATGTGCCACTAGAACAAAAAGTAATTATTCATACTGTGTAGTGCAGTCTAATTTTAACCAGTGGAAAGATTTTAGAAAGAGCAAGATGGAATTAGTGAGGCATGGCTAAGGACTCAAATGGGCTCTGGGAAGGCAGTTTGGTCCCCTGTTAAATGACTGCTTCATCTAGGTGTGAAAAAAGCAGCGGGAACTTAAGGCACTTCAGGGAAAAAAATTAAAACAGTTATTTTATGATATAAGAACATACTTTGCTTTCCAATGGCTTTGCCTACGTGAACTTTAAAATCATTAAATCCTTTCGCCCTGAAAACAGGTTTACTGAAAAAAAAAAACAGATGAGAAATTCCATTTCGATCAAAAAAGCACAAGATTTTACTCATTTTTTCTTTTTAAATGTCACTGTCACACCGTAAGCAGGCTCTCCTTTTACCTGATAGGGTTTCCATCGCCATTAACAGAGTGCCGTGTTTCGCTGCAGAAGGTTTGGTTTTCCTTGTGTCATATCAACGTTTGCTCTTCTTTTAAAAGGAAGCAAAAATTGTGATTCATAATTCAGGGTGTTAGATGAAATGACTGTGTTTGAAATATTGATGACTGTAGAATATTGCTGTGCAGCCGTTGCTAACCGAGTCTTCTCTGCTCCATCACTCCTCCTCATAGCTTTCTCAGGTTCTGCTAAGTGCTCTGAACCAAGACCTCATCCAGTTCACACTCAAGCCGGGGGTGCAGGTGAACGTGTACGCCACACAGCTGTCTCCAGGTGAGGCTGCTCCTCTGCCACACACCTACTGAACAAACCCAGTCCTTTTTTGGGAGAGAAGTGCAGTGCAGGTGCTTGTCTCTCGGTAATGTAAGGCAAGACCTTCCAATTTGGAGGTGAAGATGACTTTTAAGTCTAGCAATAATTAAACAAATGGTGAATTGGTAAAAAGATTATAACTTAAATACATTCAAAATGGAAGAGTCTTGTAAATGAAAAATGAAAAGAGAAACCATCAGAATTAGAAAGCAAGTTGATATATTTCATGCTAGATGGTAAAAATAGTTGAGATATAAATTACAAAAAATTATTAATAACCCTCTGGTTGGATGTGAGGATTAATGTATGTAAGAGTATTAATGATGCATCCCTTATCTGTTACATTCTATAAATTATTACTCATCTTTTATTTTGTGTTTTTGTATTCCTCTTTTTCTGTCTTGTGTATGGGTATCTAGTTATTTAATACATTGCAATGTATCATTCTGTTATGTATACCCTGTAACCTGTGTACAATTTCTTAAAATGCAAATAAATCTACTCGGGAACAAACTAGTCTACATGTTCTCAGACATAAACCTTAATATTGCCTGTATTATTGGTGCATTACTTGTTTTTAATATATCCATGGAGAGCAGTGTTAATAGTGAGTAGATTATTCTTGATAAAGTATATGTAACTATCAATGAAAAAAGGAAGTGTTTATTGGACATATCTCTGAGTCCCTATAGTCTCTCACATGGTCAGCATTACAACTGAGCTCTGATACTCCATTGTTGTATTATTTGTATTCCTATGAGATCAGAAATGAGATCAGTTGGCCTTCATGTGCACTCAATTTCTCTTTCATTCTTTCTCCTTGAAAGCTCCTCTTGTGGACAGCAGTGATAGCGGCCATAGCAGCACTGCAGTCATCATGCTGGTGTCAGTCGTTCTGATGGGCCTGGCTGTCTTTCTTATATATAAATTTAAAAGGTACAGTATACGGGATATCATATATTGTAACCATATAAAAGGCACTGGATAACTGTGTGAGAAAATGTGTGCAGATCCATTCTCAGGTTTGCAGACTCGCATCATTACAGAGATATCTACGTTAAGGTAGATGTTATTGTTTGGTGTGTGTGTGCGTGTGTGTTTGCATAACGACCCTTTTTCAGAGTCGGCCCCATTAGCCACAAGCAAACACCTCGCTGCTGAACTCCTAAAAGTTTCCAGAAGTATTCCGACTCCATATATCTCAGAGTTATGGACACGGGCGTCACAATAATGGCTCTAGGAATAAGACAATTCCCCTCTGTCTCAATCTGCGGAATATTACAGGGAATGACAGTCTAATCAATTCTCCCAGAGAGCTGAATGGGTGTCAGAGTCCTGCAGTTATCAATATTCATCTATCTGACAATGTGAGGGTTGACCTTTCGGGAAATGCTAAACACAGCCATCCAAGGTGAGGCACACTCTGCAGAATGGCAGGAAAGGTTGAGGAGATAAGCCCTGAGACAACGTACATTATACAGTGAGGGACGTACAGTAAATAGCGTCCTCTGCAGCAGCTAATCCCGTGCCAATCACAGGGCTCATTTAGGGGCCATTGTAGATGTTGAAGAATTGTCCTCATTATAAATTAAAACATTGCTTAACTCTAACTTTCAAGATCCTTATTACTAAATTAAGGAAATCAACTTTTACTTTCTAAAGCTGCCTGAAATGTCACAGCTGCAGCAGGAAACCACGAGGGGCGCCTGTGAAATTAGAAAGGCAAGATGTTAGTTTTAAGCAGAATTGGGGGTGCATCTGAGGGGGATGAAAAATTGATTGAAAATGGAGGTGAACAATATGAAAGTGAGGGAGCAATGCCCAGTGGAATGTGAAATGCCCTAGTTTCCAGCTTTCAAGCAATCCTCTCCCATCCTTAACAGTTAAAAATAGTGTGTGACACATTATGCTTAGTGTGAGCATTAGAGAAACAGACCTGATGGCGGGTTTCCATTTGCTTGCCTCTTATATATATATCTCTCTCTTTTCTTTTTTCTTACCCCATGGCATGACCTACAGGAAGATCCCGGGCATCATCACTTACACAGCGGAGCAGCCTGACAAAGAACAAGAGGTCATCCCCACGGTAACCTCCATCGCCATCCCAAACCCTGAGGGGGACCAGCTGACCTCCCTGGATCGGGTGGATGTACAGCTGGATTCAAAAGGCAGAGGTATTCGTTGGTCTTCTTTTAGGCTACAGTCATCCCTCAAGAATATTTAGCGTTTATCACACAGTCATTTTCAGATTCTCATGTTGGCAAATGAGGGTCTCATCCTCTAAGCGGTGTTTTATTCTATCACTTGATACATTCATTTGGTGATATGTCTGTGGTGTAACTGCAGTTAAAGAGGGCTGGTAATCGCCAGCAGAATGTTCATTGATGCAGCTTCCGAATGTTGGTTTGTTGTTCATATCAAAACCAGAATAAACTAAACGGTAAAATTGTCCATAAGAAACAAACCACTTGGTTTTTATATGCAAAACTTTTGAGATATCCAACTATTTCTCAAGTATTAAATTGTTCCTATAAAAGAATTATTTACAACAATTATGAAGAGCAAAGCACTAAAGGTACGGTACAGTTATATAATGTATTACACACCCTAAAAGCACAGTTATATATTACACTTGAACGACTGCATCACTTCACTTGAAGCCCATAATGTGCATGTGAGGAAAAGAAGAAAGACTTTTCCTGACCATTTCTTTAGACTTGTGGAGTCATTATTCTTGTTAATTAGCACGGAAGACTTGAGTTGGCTATCAAAATACAAAATATTTAAGCGTGCCAGTTTCTAAAGAAAGCCTTGGAGACAGAGAGACGGTAACCAGGATACACTTTAAATCTTTTATAATTTCTTTACTTTTCTCTGTGGTCATGTGTATAGCTTCTCTGCAGTTTAACACATACACATATGTTACTTAAGAGTACATATAATGTTATAACTCATGTTTCCCTTTCCTTCCCTCCAGAAGTGTGATATGTTCAAAAGTTGGCAGTGTCTTGTAATTCCATGTGGGATAGGCAACATGGTTGGCATGGCATAGAAATAAAAACAAATTACCTGGCAATGTGCAATCAGCATTTTCTGTTCAAATGAACTCTATCAACTTGAGCATTGCTCTCATAAACCTCTCACAGTTTGATGATTACTAAGAAAATGCCCATTACCAAACCAAAATGGTGATACTGCCTCCTTTTTTAGGGGCGGCTAATGTGACCATACTTAACCTGAGAATAGTTTCTGAATAGATTTGTTGCTGTTGCATTTTTAAAATGTAATTATTTTGCGCAATAAGCCCCACAAACATTTAACTCACATCGTTGCTTGAGGTTTTAATCACATAAACGGATATCCCACAACCTTATTGCATAGAACAATAATCTAGTTATACATACAAGGAAGGCACATAACACAAGGGTTAACAGGAAACAGGTTTATTGTGAAATTATTCTTTTTATAGCAGTGAAGTTTTCACCAAAGTTGTGTTACAAAATGCAGTGACACGAAAGAGATACTGGATATTCACCCATTGTAAGTGCTGATGCTACACCCCCTCCCTTTATTATCATAAAGGAGGTGCCAAGATATAGTTGTTATTATTATGTGCGGTATATTTATGTATTTGCCAACCTGAGTTTGTCACAGCAAGGTATTAGTATTCACAGGTAAGTGAAGCATAATCAATTGCGAGCTAAAGTGATGAGAATGTCTAGGTGAATTATTTGATCCAGTAAAATAATTAGTGCATCAGGAAAGTAGCGGAGTGTTGAAAGCATTTTCATCAAGAAATATCTACGAGGTTCCAGTTGATTTACTTCTAAACAATCGACCCATCCAAGATAAATGTGTTTGCCTGCAAAAATACAGCCGTATGCAAATGGGAAAACATAAAATTCCACCTGTCTCTTTTCTTTCTTCTCCCTTGTCAGGCTACCTGCCATCTCACACAGACATCAAGCTCTCTGATGAAGCGCCCCATGTGTTTTAATGTTGAGAGTCTATGACCAACTCGAAAGCAATACATCTTCCTTGGCAGTTACTTCCAGCAAGCTATGAAACCACGGTCACAATGAATGGTCTCGAGTGTTTTGCTACCCATGCATGGATGGACCAGTTCACACTGTGCTGCCTAATCCCTCCGAGGAAACTGTACAGATTTATACTTGCTTCTTGAAAAGGGACACTTTTTGACTGAAAATACTTGTATTTTTGCAAGGACATTGATCTTTTTATGTAAATAATGTACATCCATAATGGAAATAGTAAAAACTATTTGTCTCAGCTGGTTACAGCTGCATCTGCTCAAATATGAAAATATAAAACGGCGGGACAGAATTGATGTATAATAATATGTGAAAAAAATTATCCTATTTCTGTTCTCTGGGCTTGTGTTTGTGAAGTTTACTTTGTTTGACTATGTGGAAACAGCTTATCTGAGTAAGACAGTGAGGGAAGCAGATTCATTAAGCTCTGTACAATCAGTACATCTTATCACCAGATTCTCATCAAATGAAAGCTTGCAATATCCAGGAGATGGAGGGCTCCAAGTCCCAGATCTGTGTATTCCATCAAGCCTGTCTCTTTGCAGCTCAACATGTTTTATATGTCATAACAAAAATAAGAACAGAAGATTAAAGTGGATAAACTAGATAGGTATATACAGTAGGTGGGGAACTAAGCAATGCCTCTTGTTTAGGAGACTCGCATCAGTCATTTTAGTGACACTGGAATGAATGCTAACATGATACTGTAAATGTGGAACCTACTTAAAACCTGATTATACACAGATCTGTCTAAGTCATGCTCATGGTTATTGTTGCAGCTGCATCCTATGCGTGATTGTTTTACTGTCAATTTGGCTGTAAATCAGTGCGATGACTTTTAAACTTGTGATTCCTACTTATTCGTTGCCCAGAGCTTTTCTTGTACATTCTGGTTTCCATAGAAAACTAAATGTAAATGTTCTGAATAATTCCCATGTTAACAAAGAAGCTAAAGTACAGCAGACAACACATGCTGCAATGCAGTAAGGAAGAGGCTAAATCTGAATTTTCTTTAGTAATTAGTCAATGATGTATTAGCTATTTGTTTGTGTTTGGTTTGAGTTAAAAAAAAACATTTTCTCCTTGACACAGTTACAAAATGATTCCCATGTTTGTGTTGTTCCTTTGAACTGATCCCAGTGTGAAGGTTGTGGTGCCTTCTCACATACAACTCTAAAACAACACCGGTTCAATGGAGAAATATCCTCTCATCTTTACACCTTTTTATTTATTCTGGACTGTTTATCTACCACACTGATACCAGCATCCCCACTTGGCATCTCCTCGGTTAACAGGAACGCAGAGGAGCCTGCAGTCTGTTCTAGGTTTACCCCGAAGGACTCAGCGGACAAAAGGCTGCAGATTCGTTCCTTTTCTTTGCTGCGAGGGATACAGAGGTAGAGAAGACGTATCTCCTGTCAACAAGGCTCAGCCTACGCACAGAGCTTTGGTCAGCCGCTGTCTCTTTGGGATAAGTACTGAAGTTCTTCTTCATCAAACTTTTATTTTCAAGTGTTGTCAGCATCATATGTCAGTAAGACAAATTGACTAGAGGCTTCCCATACTTCTTCCCTCCCATCCTGCGATTGAGCCTGAAGCGTAAATAAACTCGTCATCGGGCGAACGCTGTCTCTCCACACCATCAGTTTTTCATATTTATTTAACAAACCTTTTGTACATTCCCAATCAAACTGTGAATACGATTGTAAACAGAATTGCATGATTTTTTTTTTGTTTTCCTCCAAGATATTTCAAATGTGTTTTAATTAGGCAGAAAACTGACTTGTTAGGAATGTGAACTGCAGTGTGTTTTCCGTTTCTCAAAGGCTAGACAACTCATTCATTACAAGTGACTTGATTATCCAGTGGGTTGTTACTGTGTTTTTCATTTGATCGCGCTGAAGTAACCATTGTTGCGGAATAAAGCAGAAACAGCATTAATGCGGCGTGGCTGTCTAGTAAACTCATTTCTAAAAGCAATAACTGCTTTATGTTTTTCTGTAGTCGTCAATGTATAGATCCATGTAGCTCACTGCAGGAGTTAGTTCTGTTTGACCTTTGATTTAATCAATCAAGACTTCATGAAGTGCGACACTACAGTATGACTCATGTTGGTAATTTTGATCGCCAGGCACACTTTCTTTGTTTCTTTTCTGTCTTTTTCCTCTAACAAGTGATGCTTAGCATGCCCGAAGTTTCAGTGCAGTCATTTGCATTACACAATGGGTCCGAGCGGCAGGACAATGAAAAGCACCAAGTAGCCTGGAGAGATTCTAATGGGCTGCTTCCTTGGCTCTCCCACCGTGCAACAAATTAATTATCCCTTCTCCAGGAAGGAGAGAGAGAGGGCATCCAAAGAACGCCGCCTGTTTCTATAAAGCTTCTTGACATCACACACACCACACACACACACACACACACACACACACACACACACACACACACACACACACACACACACACCACACAATCGTGGCAGATTTGTCCCAGACTGGGGTAGCACCTTGAATGAAAAATGTCCCACAACAATAACCCACAGCAATATTGTGTTAGCCACAGTGTGAAATTGATGAGCATGTTTCCTTTCATTGAGTGCTACATTAGTGTCTGGCTGCAGCGAATCATCCATTAGGGATTGTCACCGTTCAATTTGATTTTGCACCGCCGAACATCCCAGGGCAGTTAGAGAAAGGCCTTGGTGTTAATTCAGACTGAGAGCACGAGCAAGAATAAGACTCTCGGGGCGTTGGTGGCTGTTGAAGTGATGAAGATTGGTGTGCGATTTGAAATAAAAAAAAATGCAAAACGGAGGAACAAGGGCCTTGTTGCTGCATCTTTGTGTGAAAAGAATCATTTCTACTAATCAGCCACACCGTCCAACCTTTCTATCGCTTTTATTTGTCTCCTTCTGAATCTGAAGATGGAGAATAAGCAGTACCAACGCCAGCAGTTCTTCTTTACAAAATCTAATCACATGACTACATCCTCAGTAATTGTTCCATTAAATAGAACCCATCTGTAACTGGCAACTTGAGTGATGGCGCCATGGAGGTAAAATGAAGCTCAGTCAAAGTGTCAGATGGCAATCTTCACATGGGTGTTATCACACTTCTGCTCATTAAAAGTGACTTCAGAGCCTCTGAGGGATCATTAAACGTGTGACACTGGCTGCAGCAAGGCACCTGAGTTTTAGATAACTCTGAATAAGAGATGTCTGAGTTGCCATGAGATGAAAACAGCCTGTCTTTGCATCATTTCGTCAGGAAAAAAAGACTAAACAATATATTTGCATATCATAATCAAAGTGTATACTGCGTGTGAATGCAAAAATCACAAAAACATAATTCCATATAAAAATACATTTATTTTGAACAATTTTAAAATGGCAATTTGTTCACAGTAAGAAATATGATTCAAAACAAGACAATATATATATATATATATTGGACAAAAATTAACAATATCATAGATCATGCACAACTTTTGCACAACTAGACTATAAGACAAGGTGTTTAATAATTTGTTTAATGTGTAAACTTTAAACCAACCGTGGTATATACACAGTACTCGCTCACCCTAATGTATTCATTTATCTTTTATCACAGATAATTAGGGCATGCTTCTGTACAAAAGAAATAAAAAAGAGGACAAACAGCTTGTTGCTAGACTGAGGGTCGTAGAAACACTGCCTGTTCAGTGAGAGGACTTTACAATAAAGTAGGACGACGTAGCCTTTACATTTCTTCTTCTTTTATGTACAAGTTTACATTATTTCCACCTCTAAGGCCAGACCGTCCATAATAACACATTTTTGTTTTGAACGACGTTCTGAGACAGTCATTGAAAGCACCGTGTTATCTTACAGAGCCTTCTACATATTTCCTAAAACCACCACAACAGTCAGATTTTGACATTTTTATATAAATATTCATAAGTGTATATTTACAACTCAAAGACCTCTAGTTAAAGGGCGGGAAATGTTCATGTTTATCCAGAGCTTAAAGTTAAATGGTTTATTTAACATAAAAAATAATGATTTAAATGTTGTATTAATTATATTTCTGTGGTATGAAGGCAGGGCACGATGTGTTCTTCCTTAAACAGACAACTTTTGTTTTTTGTGGGTTGTCTATTAGGGATATAAAGAAAAGATGAAATTATAGAAAGAAAATAAAAATGTAACACTTGACAAATTTTATAGCCGGTTGGCTCATTTTGTGTGTTAGAGGGAAACATTTTTATAACATTAAAAGAGTGTATCATTTGTATCCCTGTATTATATTGTTCCTCAAGGGGCTTAATGTCCTCATAGTAGGTCATTATCATCCTCTGTCATTAAATGCTGAATTCAACACAACTCAACATAACTATCAGACTTTTACACAGTAAAGCCAATACGTCCTTTCTCTTGTACTGACCCATTAAATTAAATGGTACTTTTCTCATTTGATTGTTTATCTAATAGCTTTTTGGTTCGGTTTTCCTACCCTTTGTTTCACGTAATTAAGAAAAACGATGATTTGTCACAGGCAGTACAGAATTCATCAAAAGTACACAATGGCAGCTGATTATTCATAAAGTACTCTCATTAGCAATACATCCACAGTTTGACTTAAAGCTAGTCAATCTGGATGCTAATTGGACATTTTTTGCCCGATAACATTATAATCCAATTTCTTTAATTCCCCGCTCCCAAACTAGAGGCCATTGAGTCTTACTCCGTGGATTGATCTTCATCAAGTATTATAGATACTTACTCTACCCATGTGGGTGACAAACATGACTAAAGGATAGCAGCTATTAGCGTGAGTTGAATTGTAAAAAACTAAACTAAAATCAATGCTAAACAAAGCAAACAATTTCAGCACAATTGTAACACAACGATCTGTACTCACTCAGCAACAAAGTCTTAGACATTAGTACAATTTGGAAATTCCCTCGTGACAATTCTCTCCATATTTCTTCCAATTCCGCCTGAAAAACATGTGCAGAGAAACAAAAAGAGAATAAATACAGGGACAGGTTTTTGCCTTGACATCACATGCTCATCACAAGTTGCTTGTTTTAAGGATTTAGAAATGAAAGACAAACAACTTATGTTATATTCATGCTTCATCTACATGACATTGATTGCAGGCTGAAGAAATAACTGTCTACAACATCAACAAAAAAACTCAAGGTTCATTCTCGCTTCCTCTCTAATCTGTCTACTGGAAGATCAAATTGTTTCTAAAAGCTTTTAAACTTAATTATGAATTCCTCAGCAGTGCATCTTGGTTGAAAAGCCCCCCGTTGCCTCAGAGGAACATGGCCTCTCCACACAGCGCTGAGCTGGTGATGGAGGGCGGATAAGATCGCCGTGACAAGTGGGGTCGTTCAGATTGTGCAAACACGGGTCTATTCAAAAAGGTGCCACTTTTATCTCTCAACTGTGTCAGTACCGTAGTTTGAATTCAGGGATTTCTCTAAAGCAGCGTGAAGTGAAGCCAATTTTCCTGTTCGCCCAAATAACTAATAACCTCGCAGTAAACTCATCAAGGAAGAGATCCTGCTGTCAGCCCAGATTTGTTGAAGAAAATATGATTTATCAGATTTAAATTGCTTTCAAGCTGAGAATATTTACAAATGAAATGCACGTAGTCTGTAGCACAATTTGTAATGTACAGGATAAGAGTGGGGTACATGTTTGATACCATTTAAACTTAAGAAGGTTAAATCTAATATTTTAATATCTCAGGGGGCTCAATACAAATTACTGGGACGATCCACACGGAGCTGAAAGGAGTGACCTGGGGACAGATTTATGAAGCCTTCAAATGTATGAATACAAAATAAAAAGGTGAAAAAAAGAAGTTATTTATCAGAATAATTATACAATTTAATAATCCTCTTTTTGTGTGTCCCTACCATCTCCTGCTGGCTTCAGCTACTAAATGCTCCACTCTGTTTACAGCTATAGTCGCTAACTGCGTCTTTCAGTCCTTTGTGCTCAGCAGGTTGCACACACTGGGTCTTAAGTGCTTTTCCAATACAGCCGGCTGCTGTGACGCTTTTACAGTAAAGAACATTTAAACAATGAGCTAACACGTGTTACATAAATATTCATTATAGCTGCGTTAGGGATAAACAAAAAATAAATTATACACTACAACTGTTGTGAATAACATCAATAAGTAAAATGTTAATATTTTTAAAAGAACAACAATGAAGCTGATGTTGGTTGTCTCTGATTGGCTGTTAAGACATGTGATTAATGACGTGATTTATTGTGAGGTGCTCTAAAAGATTATTCTCTCACACTTCAATTGTGTAGGAGTCAGTCGCTTGATAAATGTGTTTTATTCTTGAAGCTCATTTGTCTTTTAAAGCTTTAGTTGGAATTTCAACTGAACTGCATGTTTCTACTTACTTATTATGAAACATGAGGCCATGAGAACTGTCATGTTCATCATTCACAGCCAATTTGTATCAACATTAATCAATACATCAACTTTTTTTTTTTAATCTGTCAAATTCCGTTTAACATGTTTAAATCTTCATTTCAACCTTCATGAATTTTAATTTCACATCATGGCCCCTGCTGTGCTGTGAAAACTATCAAGGAATAGCATATTCTTCCTCTTCTTAGAGCTTGTAAAGCCATTTGGACTAAAATTAGAACACATAAAATCACTGAACCCAGACATTCATTAAATTAAAACTGGTTAATGTTCCTCTTCTGGTAGGGGGCATGTTTTCCACCAGCTGGAGCAAGGTCTGGCTTACAGGCAATGAAACATCTGTACTTTATAACATATACGCCAGAGGCATATTGTCTTTATACTGGGCACATAATTAAACTACAAAATCAGAAAAAGTCGCAATTCAATAGTGGAGGAAGAAGGCAATGTTCTTAATGGATGAATGATTACCGAACGATGGCCTGCTCTAGCTGATTATATATTTTATTATATGCTTGTAAAGTGAATACGACAGACTTGTAACCCAGTGAAAATCTAACTGCATGTGAATCAAACCGAGCTTCAGAATATTAATGACAAATTCAATTAATTTCATCTAGCGATCCCTAAATTAAAAGGTCCCACGCTGCCCTGCCCTTTTATAAATAAACTCTTCTGATGCCACAAAAAAGGAGTTCATTTGTTTCAGATCAGCAAGGACTTTGAAAGTAGAAACAGCTGAGAAATGAAGAATAGCCAAAGTGCTGAGCGACCAGAAAACGGCCTGCAGCACACATGTCTTTGTCAGGAGCACTGCAGTGCTACTTTTGTCAAATAATCCAGTGTCTGCAGGGACTGCTCTCATCTAAAAGACATCACGGTGGATGTC